GAAAGTATTTTAGATCATTCAAATCGAATGCTTAATTCTATCAAAAACTGCCATTTTTTGCACATTTTGCTCGGTATCTCCGAAACGGCTGGACCTGCCTTTGCCAAAAACCTAATCACCACTTCTACCCATCATTACAAATTAAACGTCTTTTAGATCATGCAAATCGGATACTCCGTTCGCTCAAAAAACTCGATTTCTATTTTCTGCACTCTTTGCTCGGTATCTCCGAAATGGCTGAACCTGCCTTTGCCAAAAACTAATCAGCACATCTAGCTATCAGTAGGAATAGAATGTTTTTGAAGTCATTCAAATCGGCTGATCCGTGCGCCCGAAAACGTGGACGAAAAAATGGGGATACACAAAACACAAATCTATTTTTTCTGAGGTATGCCAAAATGTTCAGAAACCTTCAAAACGCGAAGAAATTTAAAAAATATTTAATTTCGATTTTTGGACGATTACTATAACTTACCCTACGGAAAGTTAATGTAAAAAAACATTAAAGCTGTACTAAATATTTATTTATTAGAAATTATAGTGAAATCCTCATTATCTCATAAAATATGCATGGAAAGACTGATAATATTGTTATTAAAATTTATAAATACTTATAATGAAACAACACTTTTATGAAAATACAAACTTATTACAATAAGAATATTTGTTTTAAAAAAATAATTATCAAATTGAATTATATGCAAAATATTTATATATGAAATCTTGTATGCCTTATAAATATACTGATTTCGGACAAATTTTATACATCATAAAAAATATGAACACCTGTCTAATAATATAATATAAAATATTTTAAAATCTGCACATTTACTAATTTGAAATATATCTATAAATAAAAGTCCAAAAAATGAATTATATTGCTACGACATCTTTATGAATAAATTGTTTTAATTAATAATATTTACTTTATAGTCGAGACAGTCACATTTATTTGCGTTGAGCAAATAAAAATTGTATAAATTTTAAATATTTATACAAGTTGTATAAATCAGAGAAAAGACTTGAACAAATGTTCAATTAAAATAATATTGATAATAAGAAGTGATATGAATAAATTGTAAAAAATAATTTAAAAAAAAATCAAATATAATTTTCAAAAATGGTACAAAATAGTTTGCACAACTTTGCGCAAAGTATCTAAAAAAGCATAATGTCGTTTAAAATTATAATTAATTTATAGAATATGCAAGCAAATTTAAATTTAATTTATGAATCACGCAAATTTTGCTGATATCAGTTTAATACTTTATAAATACATAAATTCTTGTACGTATTTTTTGTAAACAAAAAGTAGCGATTCTTTATCGCATTATGTAATTGCTTTATGCTGATAAGAAAATCAGTGTATAAAATTCAACATAAAACATGATTGTTTAACAATGTAATCTATCAGCATTACGTGTTATTTTACAGAAAATTTAGAGCTATTATTGTTTTAATGTTTTGATAAGAAGTGCATTTGAGAGAATTTTCTCACCATACAATTTTCTAGCTGATAACAAAAAATATAATTTTTATTCAGTAATTATGTGAAAATTTATACTCATTTACCACATAGATCCTTTTATTTTTAAGTTTACTCTATATAATCACAAAATTTAAATTTAATATATCAAAATTGAAAAAGCTTACTACTGGGTAACCTTTTAGACCTAATGTTTAATATTTCATATATCATCAAAATTACTGAATGTCTTCATTTTTGTAAAGACAGATTGTAATTCAATAAAGAGAATTAAAAAAAAAGAATAAATAATTATGTGTAATAAAATACATATTTTCAAAAATAGTTTTATTATCAAATTCTTATCAATCATATAAACATCATGTAAAAAAGATGTGAAAACAAAACAATTAACTTTTAACAATTCCCCAAATATATGTATGAATGTAATTAACTAAAATGTTTTTAGTCTTTAAATCAGTTTTTTTTCAAAAATGCTTGTTTTATATATGCATACATAAATAAGTACGTATATTCTGTACATGTATTTATTCACAAGAAAAATATAAATATTATATATTAAACTAATTTAATGTAAAACTATTCCAAGCTAAATTTCTACAAAGACCCAATTACACATAGAACACTATGTATTTGAATAATAAATATAAAATTGTATTTATATACATTTAAAAAAAAAGAGTATCTAGTTCACTTTTGATCATTTACTGCCCCGCAATGGAATGCTTGTCTTTTCATATGGCTATTTCTTCTGTTTGTGTATTTAGTAAAATTTTTTCGCTTGAGCTTCTTTACTATCTTTGTACAAAGAATATGCGAGCATGAGAGCCAATTGCACAGCTACGGCCACCAAAAATATGGTAACACTTACACAATTTTGTGTAGGGCATTGAACTTGCGCAGACGGATTATTATCCATTTTGTGACTCAATCCAGCCATGCCTTGTTTCATCGTGTTCATACCGTCTCTCATTTCTCCGATCAAAGCTTGGACATCATAAGCAATACCTCCTCCAGAATTTTGAACAGACGATGCTCGTCCTTGGTTGCTGAGTATGGCATCGCTCCTTGCATGGACTTCACCTACAATGCTGCGAACTTCTCGAATAGTTGTTACCAAAGCGTTTATACTATTCATTAATAAATCTACTTCATGGCGTCTAATTCCGTCGTTTACAGCAACTGGAGCACCCCCTTGAACCTGAGCCATGGGTTGCCCCTGAGATACCAGACTCAAAGTTCTTTCCTGTCTGCCGATTACTTCATCTAATTTTCTTGATAAATCTTTCATGATATCAGCCATAGCAGATTGTCCTTGGAAGATTTGCCTTAACTCTCTTTGATTATCGCTTTCAAACCAGTCATCCATATCAGGTTCTCGCTCTTTATTGTGATCAGGATGTTCCTTGCGGTATTCTTCTTTTTGTTGTTCCAATTTACGTTGATATTCCTGGTACTCTTGTGACAATTTCAACTGTTCTTCTTCGGTGAGTTGTTGTCCTGGTAAGCCCTCAGGTGCTTGACCAACATGCACGGATGTGGTTAAGAAATGGAAAACATCATGATCGTCGGCTAAGCCACCAGTGGCAGCAGATATACCAAATGACCGTTTTTAGGCAAGTAAACATTTTCAGCTCTCAAACACATGTCGTAATCAGCTTCATTGTTTGTCATACCGTTATGGAAGAGTACAGTGAGTGTGTTTTGGAAGTATTCTATACGAGCTCTTGTTGCAAAAGGTTTGTTACGGAAGTCTCTCAGACAACCGGCTAACATTTGGGAGGCACCATCGTTTTGATGATCGAATTTTTTGGTACCGTCGTTGACAACAGCCATAACATATGGGTTGTTATGTTTGTTATCGTTGTCAAAAGAGTCGAAAAATATGCCTAAACCGTTCCACATGTCAGAACTGCCAAAAACATCACCATCATAAGCTCCTTTGCTTTCTGTGTACCAGAAGGCTAAACCATCGGCTCCTATACGTCCACGACCGGTTATCCTGAACACAATCTCCACATTCCACCAGTCGAAGTTGGTTTTTGATTTTGTCCATATCGCTCCTTTTTGGCTTCTCAAAGAAGGTGCAATACGTACATTTTCAGAACTTGCAATTGCATTTCCACCGTACTCCCAAAAGGGAACGGTTCCGTCCTTTTGCGCTAGGTAAGGCGGTTTGAATGAATATTTATATTCGAAACGTCTATGTTCTAAAGAATTTGAAAAACTTATAAATAAACTAAATGCGATTGCTAAATGTATCGGATACATCCTAACCAAACACGTCAAACAGAGCGCCACATTGCCAGATTTGCCACACAGTCAAACTGACAGCTAAACAATTATGTATCGATTGCCACTGTGGAAGTATTGCCAGAGAGGAGGAACAAATGTCTTTATTATCACGTTGGCGATGGTCGACCATGGAATTTAATTGAATTTATTTAAACACTTAAAATATTTATGAAACAAATCACAACATATTAGAGCAATTTAAAATATGTGCGCACGATCAGGCTACTTGATAAATACAGAACAAAAAATCAATGGACGTTGGAATCGCAACTGCGCAGTAGTAGTCTGGGCGCTGGCGTACATTCGAAACTAGAAATCGAAATAAAAAGTTTTGTTTGAATGGAAATGAAAATATTAGCTCATTTATAGATATTCTACATAAACAATTTTAATATTTTATAATACAGAATATTTTTGACTTCCCGTAGGTTAAGTTATTGCAATCGTCCAAAAATCGAAAATGAAATTTTTTGCATATCTTTACGTTTCAGAACATTTGAAAAAATTAATTTGTGTGTGTGTATGTATGTATGGATACAATTTTGCGTTCACGTTTCAATCAACCGATTCGAATGTTTCAAAAAACATTTGATTCCTATTGAAAGGAAGATGAAAAATAAATTGATACTCATATTTATTACTCTAAACAAGAGATCAAGCACAACAATAGTTTGTGTAGGTGTTTCAATAATATAGAGATGTACTTTATAATGGACATATATGAGGTTGTCAAATATCTCCTTTCCGCCTTTTTGTATTAAACCAAGAGCAAAAAAGCGGAAGGGAGATATTTGACAACCTAATATGAAGTTTTTATATTGATAGTGTTAATAGAATTATTCAAGATTGTTAAAAGTTCACTGTGTAAATGAATATTATAGAATTTATTAATCAGCAATTACTTTAATTTTTGAATAAAGGTTTAAGTCCTAAATGCTAATTACAATGACAAACCGATCATGTCTGAAGTGTGTCCCTAATTACATTAACATTTTCAAATATTATAAGTATTTTTTAATGGTATTATAGATATATAATTTATAATTTTGTGCATTACGAGTGTTATTATATTACTAATAAACATTATTCAAAATTGATCTATTTAACATAATTCATTTCTTACCAGCGCTCCTATTATGTCATTCAAATTCTAACGTTGGTTTCAGGTTTGTTTTGAAATAACTTCATAGTTTACAAATGATGAAGGTGATCAGTTGACGTTTCGTGTGAAGGTGTTGTCAATATTTTAAAATACGTCAACACATTTCTTATTTATGTGTTTGCTTGCAAAATAATTTAAATCAAAACATTTTTTTTATTATTTGTTTAATCAAGTGCCTTAATTAGTGCCCAAAAAATGGATAAAGACGTTTCAAGGTATTTTACACGATTTCTCTAATCTTTCCTTCTTATCATGTGATCTTGTTTTCAATTTATTTTTAATCTAATTTAGAACTCGCAATTACGTATCTGAAAACACACAAATTACAACACAAAATAATAAAAAAGAAACAGTGAGAAATATGACAAACAGTTCTCTGGGCAAACGTAAAAAAAAGCAGGAGAAGAAAAATAAATACTTGCAAGAATGGGTCGACAAAGCCTTACAACAAGATGTTATAGAAAACGATTCAGACTTCAGTGAAAACATCTACCCACCTAACTTTTATCACATGAATCCGATGCATCAACAACGTATACACTCAGCAATATCAGATCCAAGTTTCTGCAGATTCGGAGTACCTGTAAATCCTTTCCTTATGGAACCCTCATCATTACCCTACTACAACCATTCCACCACTAAATCCCACCAGTATATTCCACAACCTAATTATAACGTTTCTAGAAATACATTCCCAAATAGGAAACGATGTTTCAATTCAAGGCAAAATCATACCACACAAACGTCTGTAGTAGCAAAACCTGCAAATACTCCTTCAGAGTTACAATTTACAAGCCTCCCACCGGTTGATATGACTGCTTCGAGTGTTGATGATAGTCAGGATCAGAGACGGTTTAGTGATCCTGGTTTAGGTTCGAATGGGGACGGCCAGGATTCCTCAGACAGTGATGATTCGAATGGTAGTTCTAATTTAATTTCAGTGCCGAAGAAAATTATTACAACTTTGGTGGAACAGATACATTCGTTAAAGGAAATCACAACTAAATTGAATAGAGATATGTTTGAAATGAGGGGTAAGTTGATAATAGGACTTATTGCAATAAATGCTTTTGTATTGATAAATTTGAATTTATTTTTTAGGTGAATTAGAACAAGTAAAGCAGCACTCAGCATGGGCTAGACAAAATACACCAGCTACAACAATTGCACCAGCGTCTCCTTTACCTGTAGGAAATCAGACGTATACACCAGGAATGCTTGCTGATGCTATTCGTGAAGTACGTGATTCCACAAAGGTCAGGAAAAACATTAAACAATTCTGCATATTTATATTTCAATGGCAAAAATTAATTTTTGGTGTTTTATTTTAGGTACGTGAAGAAGCATTTATGTTAAGATTCAAATCACTAATGGATGAAAGGGCTGCGAATAATAGTTTGTATGGAAATATGAACGGACTAGATAGTATTTCGGAAAGTGGACGCGACATACATGAATTAACGGTACTTGTGGATATTTATTTACCTACACTTAATTTTGAATATATATTTTAACACTAAATTTAATTTTTTAGAAAGCTCGAATTAACAAGCTTGAAACAGAATGTCGTCTGGAGCGACTTGAGGAAGATCTTAGAACCTTGAGACTGCAAAATGAGTAAGTATATTAATATGTAAATCGAAAATGAAAATTTTTGCTTTTCTCGACGTTTTTAAGGTTTCTGAACATTTTGGCATACCTCAGATGCGTGTGTGTATGTGTGTTTTGTATGTCCGCATTTTTTCGTCTACGTTTCGAGCGCACGGATCAACCGATTTGAATGGTTCAAAAAACATTCGATTCCTATTGATAGGGAGATGTGCTGATTAGTTTTTGGCAAAGGCAGGTCCAGCAATTACGGAGATACGGAGCAAAGAGTGCAGAAAATACAAATAGAGTTTTTAAGAGAACGGTGTATCGGATTTGAATGATCTAAAAAACATTCAATTTCTAACGATTGGGAGATGTGGTTATTAGCTTTTGGCAAAGGCACGTCTCGCCATTTCGAAGATACAGAGCTAAATGTGCAAAAAATGGCAGTTTTTGAGTGAACTAAGCGTCCGATTCAAATGATATAAAAAACTTCCCGCTTGTATTGTCAAAACAATTGTTTTTGAGGATAAAAAATTAACTAATTAATTAATTAGAATTTTGGATTACCCAGACTAAGCACAGTCTAAGCGCCACTCTAGTACAAATGTTTACCCAAGTGCGTTTAGACTGTTTATGTATTGGAGCAATTTTTCAATTTAGTGAAAAATGTGAAAATGCCGCCAAGCTAAGCACAGTGCAAGTCAAAATGTCGCACAGAATTATTTGCAAATGCGTTTAGATTGTGACTATACGGGAACACTTTTTCAATTTTGTGTAATTTTTTTTGAAATTGAATTCGAAATGAAATGACGATTGTTAATGTTCAGGAGATAAATTGATTTATTTATAATTTACATTTGATTTGCTCAGATATAACAAGATAGCAAAAATAATGAATGTTACAGTATTTATAATAATATATT